TTTATCAGGGAGGGGAGTCTCGTGGTATTAAAGAAAAAATTATTTGGTATTTCATTTTTAAGATAAAATTCTATTTCTATAACGATAAATATTTGATTGACATTAAAAGCTATTTTATAAAGATTTTCAATTTCTCTTTGCGTTTTAGCTTCGATTTTTCGGATAGAATAAAATGACAGGCAGCCTACTCCACTGGGTCGAGTTTTGCTGTGCAAATTCCTCCCGTCGGCTTTGCGCTGATTGGCTAGTCGCATTTTCTCAAATCACCCAAAAGTGATAACGTTGACTTCTCAGGCCAAGAAAATACTTTACAAAGTAAATGATATCTATAAAATCATTAAACTCGCCTTTTTTATTGATAAAAAATGTTTCTTCTTGKTCTAATTTGAAATCTTTGCCCACACAACACTGCCTAACGCTAAAAAGGCATTGATTTAGTTTCGAAAGTATACTACTCGAAGCACCAAGCGATCTGCACATGCGCGTACTTATGATACCTAGACTGATGCATTCCGATGAGATCACAGATACCACATTTGTAAACGAATAGTTTTTTTGTCATATAAAAGCGCGAGTAGCATACAACATTTACTAACGATTTCGTACATCAATACGTTTTAGCTTCCGGTCATGTAATAACACAGGCAACCCAATAGGKGATTATTAAATTCTTAACTTCCGGTGGTCCGAACGCGACATGATACATAGATAGATAGATTGACTAAAAGGTAAATTTAAAKTCGGACCGCCTTCGGCTAGTCCKACTAAAAAGTCGTTTTGGGCCATTMCATTCACGACCTTCCATRCTTAGGTTCAGTGACCATGAACAAAGCATTGAACCGAGGCGTCAAGGTACATTGAACATAAAAGAAATGATCTGTGATCAGTGTTCCTTGACGCCTAGGCTCAATGCTTTGTTCGTGAATTAAAAGTTGTGAATTTCTTCTCCACTATCATACATAATGTAAAAAATCGCCAATTTCCAAGGATTTTCCGTAGGGTGGTATGGATAATGGAATGGCCCTTTGTTTTGAGAGACTCGGATCAGTTGATTTGTTTAATATTGAAAATTGTTGATTTGTTGATTTTGGAAGTAATTTTAATAGTAGTCCTCTCTTGCTGTATTCAATAGTATCAGGATGCAGCTCAACTTTTATTTGTTTATACACTTGTATGTTTTATTGTGCCTCCCCCTTAAACTTCTGCATAAAAAATGGTGACCCACCCCATATTTGCACTAGCCACGCCCAACTCGATAAATAATGACAAGTCCTTAATATACTCTACACGGCTGTTAATGTTAGTATCCTTGACAATTTCAATTCGAAAAAGAATTCAATATTAAGAGGTTATTAACCGAGCGCGAGGTCTGTACGGGAAAATATCAGASCGACGTCTTGACAGTACATAAAAGACCGAGGTCTGATATTTTACCGTACAGACCGAGCAAGCGAGGTTAACAACTCGTTTATTATATGGCTTTTACATCGTAGATTATGTAGAAGAATTACTCAAAGTATATAGGAAAAGTTTCACTGGTCAACTTGCAGCACGTTGCCTCCCTCTATCTGATAGCACCTCTTTTCTCAAATATCTTATCTCACGATATGAGTAGAATAACACGGAGATCATCATATTTTCAGTAATTGTAGGCTAAAAAGACGGGGATTTTGGCTCCTTGTTTCATAGATTCAGTTTATTTTCACACACAAATACATTATCATTACAGTTTAGTAGTTTACTCACAAATTTCACTGAGTCTTCCGATCGTCGCGGCCGCCGGTGTAGATTTGTTTGGCGTACAGCAAAATGCGAAACGAAACGAAACGAAACGAAACGAATGGTTTCGCAATTTACAGATTTTGGTGAGAAAACTGTAAATTGCGAAACGAAACCGTTTGTTTCGTTTCGCAATTTACAATCTGTAAACTGCGAAACCGTTTCGCATTTTACAGATAAAAAAAACTGTAAACTGCGAAATGAAGACATTTCCATGTTTAAACTGCCAAACGTCGACTTTTAAGTCGAAAAAAAAAATTGTAAAC